TCTTCAATTCGGGCTCTATATAGACTCGTTCCAATAAAGGGTTCCAATCCCCAGTGGTTTGGCGGGATCAGCGGACGCCTGGTCCACCACCCGCTCTTCAAAGCGGCCTGGTAGACGCAGGCCCAGTATGCCCTCATGGACGGGCGAGTCACGGTCGAAAGGCTTGCCATCCAAAATACCCAAGGCCACTTCACCTACTTCCTTCCTATAATGCTCCAGCAACTCATCATTCAAACCCAACCCTTGGATGTCAGGAGAAACCAGAATGAAGGCCGACGGACCGCGCTTGGATGGCGCAGCCGGGCCGGGCGGGCCAAAAAATATAAGCCGCGCCACCCCGGACCCCGGGGAAGCGGCGAGCTGGGAGAGGACCACCACAACCAGCAGTTTTATTTAGCTGGATGATGATAGGTCTAAACTCACTAACTCGTTACCGGAAACATATTGTACTGCCGTAAATGCAATTTTAGACTATTAATCCTCTGGCCTTCTACACAGATCATCCCTTCTTGGTGGCCCAAGACATTGACCTCGCACCACTTATTGTTGATATCTGCATACACCGTCTTCGCCAGCTCCAACCCAGGCGACGCCGGCGGATCGAAGACCTGCGTCTATTTTTGGTTTCATCAATGGGAGGGGAGAAATTGACCGACGCAGCTTTTGTGATAGCCAGGCTGATTCGCTCAAAATGGATTGACTCTCCTGACGCTTTGAAGCTAATTCTAGATTTTTGGCAGTGAATTTGTCATGCGTTGTATCCAAGAATGTTTTTCTCCAGCTGCAACCCAACCTCGTCTGCTTTCTCTCACAACACCGAAAGTCAGCCGGCATGAAGGAAGGTAAAGCAAGCATGAGCTGCGAGATTGTGGCTGCCCGATCTGGGGATCTTTGCGCCACGTTAGGTGAGGGTGACCCCTTGAGTGATACAGCAACTGCGCGGTCTAAAACAACTATCGCCCTGTCGCCAAAGCCTGCTTCCTGGACTCGCCGGTGCACGTCAAGCACAAATATGGCCGTTGGTGTGGAGTCGCATTCTCCTAGGCGCTTCACAGCAGTTCGGAATCTCAGAGGTGGTGTGCTTTTGGCTCCACCCGCAACAACATTCCCTGGGAACAGGTGTGTTGCACTCACTGATGTGAGCGGCGCCCAACAGCTGAGGACCAAAGCTGGCCAAACCACGGACTCCATACTGGACCCGTCAAAAATTTGATGTGGTATCAGATCGCCAGTCCAAGCATCTCGCGGGGCATCGTCAGAAGGAGAGGCGCGCACAGCGGTGGAACACGTCGTTTCGTACCGTGAATCTATTCCGCGTGGTATGTAGGACAGATGAACTCCACGTCCACCAGGTCCACGTGAATGTCCGCCCATCACCGCTCCCTGGCCGAGAGCATCATGATTTTCTGATGCTGCGCATGCAATATCGACACCCCGATTACCCAAGTGGGCCAAGTTTGCGATTAGGCGCATGCCATCGTGTGCACACCATTTTGCCTTTGATTCAGCAAAAAGTACAGCACCAAATTTGATGAATTCTTTCTCAGCAATTTCTTGCGCCGCTTCCAGAGCCAAATTCCGCATGGAAGCGCTGTCGTGGTGCCGCCTTGACGTTTTATTACCTCGTCCACTTATCACAGTAAATTGCGTCTGGATTCGCCCCAAATCAATCCGTTTCCTAGCCGAGTCCTTTCCCGTCGCAGCGATTGCAACGTCACCACCTCCACCTTCCTTCAGCAGAATTGCCAACCTCGCTGCTTGTGTTGCAGCGACCCAGTGTGGCGAGTTTGCATCTTCTTCATAATTCAAAATGACCTGATTGTGATAGAAAATTCGGCAACGTACCAGATGAAGACGCCGCAACAACGAGCAGGGTTGAACCGTTGGGCACGACCTTCGCTGCAGCGTGTACGACACCCGGTGAGTCTGTTCCTGTCTGCCATCGAACCGAGCATGCACTCTGGAAGGTCGAACCGAGCTCGTCGGGGTCCTCAAAGACGCTCCAACTCGCACGATGGCTTGTGACTTTGTAAAATTTTAAAATTGAAAATGTCGAGGTTGCAAGCCAAATACCGAGGAGCAATAGCAAGTGCTTACGGGTGGTGCGAAACCATCGGCAGCACGACTGTCGAAGCCAACACATGAAACTCTACCAACGTTGCTCATATGATGAATTGCCTTTACGCACGCTCTATCTAATCTGAGGGACACATCCAGGGATGAAGAGAACGAATGTACAGGTAATCTCATGGGAAATTACTATGTATGCCATTCCGGAGAACATATAGAGAAAGAATGAGCTGCTATTTGTTATTAGATTTTCAACCAAATTTGGTCCTTTTGCAGCCATAGTGGTAGTGGTATTGGGGGTACTCCGGTAAATGCTCTGGCTTACTTTAGGTCAATCTTATAAGAATTTAACACAATATATGCTATTTTTACCTAACCCCGCGTTTTTGCGTGTTAATTTCGGTGTTTTTTAACGGATTTTAACTTTGTGATGTTGTTTTATAAGAGCCTGAGGTTGAGTTTGAAGTGAGATTGATGTCAGTCTTGATGTGATGTTGTTTTATAAGAGGCTGAGTTTGATGTCAGTCTTGATTGGTCTTGATGTAAATGTTGAATAAACTCAACGGCAGTGGTTTTTAGAGGGAGAAGCCACATAATTTTGCATCCGTCACTTTAGCGTGCGTTCATCCGCCGGCGGCTTCCTCTTATTCGTGGGTTTCTACTGCAACGCCCAGGAAGCTCGCGTGCCCATGCATGCGCCCCAGCTCGGGCAACGACTGCGCCTGTCCCCACTGCTGGGAGATCGTTTACATCATTAAAGCCCTGCGGGAATCCTTTAGGTAAAAGGGTAACATATGCGACTGTGTGGCATATACAAAGCTGCATGCTTTAAGGCTTGCACTGTCACCGTGCGGCAAGGCGCCCTGCCCTGGATTTAAGCTCCCCAAGGAGGACGAGCCGCCTGAATTCTACAGGTTCCCCTGTGCCGTGGAGAAACAACCGCCGAAAGGCGCCGACAAAGTCCTCCCTGAGCATCACAGCAAATGCGCACAGTGCACGTTTGGCTACCAGATGGTGATGCCAAAGGAAGGCAAGTGCAAACGACTGGCATTGTCCCTCACGTACCATGAAAGACGCGACATCAACGCGGCCCCGAAATGCGATGCCTGCTATGCGGAAAAGTTCGTAAAAGTTCCGTCCACGTATGGTGAGATCATCAACAAGTTGGCAGATAAAACAAACAAATGGCATCAGCACATGTGGATCAAGCAACTGACCAAACGTGCGCAGGAGCTGTAAATTGCTACCTTTGATGGCGAACGAACGATCGTCGTTGTTACGGACTTTGCGAACCGCAACAAACTGAACGGGATCGCACAAGCCACCAGCGAGATCAGCCCTGCCGTTGGATGCGCGGTCGCCATCGTGCTTTACAACCCAGGCGAGCAAGTGGACGGGCAAGAAAGGCCCGTTCAGACGGACGTCTGGCGCATCTTTAGCGGGTCCAAGGACTGTGCGCATTACAATGCTGTCCTAATAGAAGAGATTTTCGTGCACTACAGCGGCCAGGAACCACACAAGGAATCAAAATTGCGAATGCCAGAAGGAGGATGGGGAGAGCTGCGTCCGCCCAGTATGAGCGCATATTCCCGAGGCGCAGTGCCCCCGGGGGCTATGCCGGACTTGAGGTCGACATCGTAGCCGTCGGTCGTCAGCTGCCCGTAGCTGATGATCGACAGCGGCGAGCCGGGGTCCGAGGCAGCCCGCGAAGAGCTGGCGCAGGACCGCGCACCAGGTCGACACGGACCGCAAGGACGAGAAGTGCTTGAGTTCCTTCCTATTTCCAATAATTTCCAGGACCGCGCCGTCCGGGCTCGATAGGGGCCCCATATTTATCTTCTATTTCCCGGGCATTCGCCGGTATGCGTGGTTAGCCCTGGCTAATTTCCCCCGATGTGGTCTGGGCTACGTGTTTGCTGAGCACGCGCGACCCGTAGATGATGTGCACGACGTCGATGGTGCAGTCGGGAAACAACGCGACCGCGCCAGCCAGGGCGTAGCGCATCTCGAAGGACCAGGCCGCCGTCGCGTTCACCTAGCGATCTGCCGCTCTGAGACGCTTTTTAGAGCGGCGCCAAGAAGTCGCGAAGGTGCTCATGGCTGTGCAACAGAAGCCATCGGTGACCGCACAGGGTCCATACCGACGCGTTAGCATCGGCGGTCCAACGTGCGCGGCGCAGCAGCGCGCGGCTCGCAGAACCCTACCCCGCTGTGTTGGCCTTTATCTTCCGAGAACTCTCGGTCAATTGTCCGCGTTTTGCCTTCTGCGCTATCATTTTCGCTGGCAACGTTTGAACTCGTAGCTGCTCAAAGAGTGTGCGTGCAAAGTTGTAAAAAAGAATATCCACACGCAAGATTTGGCCCAGTTTCGCATTGATTACGTCATCATCTATCATGCGAAACGAATTTATTTAGCGCGCCGAAGACGGGTTGGGAATTTACGCCGAAGGCGGGCAAATTCGAGTTTAGGGTTAGGGTTAGGGTTAGGGTTAGGGTTAGGGTTAGAGGCCACGTTTTTTGTGCGCTTCTAAATTCGTACGTTTTTTCAAAACCGAGACCGTACGTTTCGATTTTCAAAGTTTGGCCCAAAAACACTTACATTTTCCGCGACGCCCCACTTAAACACTTCCAAACACTTACACGAACATGCGCGAAACACTTACCGCGGTCGCCGAACACCTCCCGCCAAGCCAGCGAAACACTCCACTGGAACTTTGCTACGCACCACGCCCTGGCTATAATCCAATCGGCTTTTTAGTTGATGCGCCCTCTCCTGAGAGCTCAGGAGCGCAAGACAATTTACCCGCGATCGCGAGGACAATGTCTATAATTATCCCCGTGCGTGGGTCCTCAAACACAGTGGAGGTGTTTAATGACGAGTTGCCCGAGGACCCAGCAGACGTTATCGACTTATTGCGCGCGGAGCTCGCGCCCCTCAACACCTGGTGCGAGTTTGCGGTGGCTTACCACAACCAAGGAAAACGCGAACAATTTCGTGAAATCTTGCTCGGAGTTGTGGATGCCTTCGATGTATATGAGATGCAAGACTTTTATCGGCGTCAGCCAGACTTATTTGCTTCCGGCCGATTGCGTGTCCTGAATTTGTTAGCAGCTTCTGCGACGAGTAATTTCATTGCCGAGGAGCTCCGAAAAGAAGCCCGAGAGGCATTGACGTATATTCTTATCACAATCGTTTATTTCGTTGATTTGTAGGCTTGGCGGCAGAAGGCGCTCGAGTATATTGGAAGAGCCGACAAAATTTCAACCAGCTGCTCGCAGACGTGGCTCGTGAAAGCTCTCTTTTGGATCGGCGAGCATCATCATGATGCGCATGCATTGCGAAATTCTGCGTACTACGCTGACTCTGCACTTCGCAGCGATAATGGTGCTTCGTGCAATGCGAGATTAGCAAAAGCAGCAGTTTTGTTCCACGAATGCAAATTTTCTGATGCTTTAAGGTTGTATGCGAGCACACTTCGCTCGGACCCAAGAGCTGCAGGCGCGAGCGCTCGCATTGGTGTTGGACTCTGTGCCTATCATCTAGGTGACAAAGACAAAGCACTTACTGCGCTTGAACGTGCACTTTCTCTTGGCACAACCTGCGTAGAAGCTCTAGTTGCTGTTGCTATTCTTCGGCTTGATCAAGAAAGCGATCCCAAAATCATGGGACGGAAAGGCACTGGCCTTTTGTCCAAGCGGGTATGCTAACCACGTTTGCACTTCATCTGAATAGTGCTTCACTCCGGTGCACACTTAGGCAACAGCGGGACCTGTTCAGGTCATAAATAGCCCCGGACGCATGCTCAGTCGTGCCAGAGAACTTGATCCCACATGCTCCATGGCGCTTAACCACTATGGGAATCATCTTTTCTGGTTATGGCAGCAATCTTCGCTTACTGGTCATGCACAAATGGGAAGCAGCAGCATCACATGCTCCACCGATCCATCTGATCTCCTTCACAGTGGTACGTGCATTCAACTGATCCAAAACGGCGAGAACAAAGTTGCTCTTGAGACCAAAGTTCGAGATGTGGTGATTCTTCCTGGTGAATTGGACACTTGGACTGTGAATCTTGCGACTCCATATCGCCCTTTGGCAAAAACAGATTTGCACAAATTAAGCATCAAAGTTAAAGAAGTTCCCGAGATTGATGATCTAGCTAGTCGCGCATATCACTGTATTCTAACTGTGCATGCGTTGGGGTTTAGGAAATAAGCTCCCAATTGAGCACACGATGCAACAGGTACTGCTGTGCCTGAGATCCAAGCTGAGGCGTACTTCATTCTTGGTCGGAATCACCACGTGCGAAACGAGTTTCAGGGTGCCCTCCCTTTCTATGTTCAAGCTTGCAAACTTTGGCCGCACTTTGCGCTTGCGCAATTTCGCCTTGCACAAGTTCTATTGAACATGCTTAGACGGCTCTTAGAGTTACTCGTGCAGATCTTCGATGAGTTGGGGCTTCATATAGGTACGGGCGGCCATGAACGATTTACCGGCAGCTCTTGAGGCGGCAGAGGTGGCGCTAGAATTGGCGCCAAACGCACACGAAGTTCTTCGGCTTGTTGGGCTATTGCGCCTTACACAGAATTCGACCAAGAGTCCACTCGAAGTTCTGAGACATGCAATCGCTCAGAACTCTAATGATACTTGCACTTGGCTTGCATTGGCAAGTGCCTTGGAACGCCACATATTTACTGATGATGCTGTCCATGAGCGTGATCCCAGTCTAGTTCGGAAAGCAATTGATGCGTACGATAATGCTGCAAAGCTTAAGTGGGAATCTTCGTCAACGGTTCCATTCCAAATATCAAACAATGTCGGAGTGCTTCATCTTTGTCTTGGCGAAGCTAGGCCTGCACAGTCTGCTTTTTTATCCGCACTGCATGATTTTGAGGGATGTTCGCCTAATCAGGGTCCTGATGCAACTTTATCGACTGTCAACCCGTATTGTTTTATGCCCTCAGTAACTGGGTCAGATGTCGGTGTACAGGGCGAGTTCTGGCATGACTATTGGAAACTGATTGACGGCGGAGCATGGCACTCTTCAACAAATCTATGTACGCTATGGATAGATATGCCGATTGACCCACCTTTCACTGTGGGCGAACGCATCCGTATTGGTGATGGCGGTGCTACTTGCATAGTGAGTGTCAAAAGCATGCGTGTATCAGCAATTGGCAAACCGATATCGCGCGAGAATGCCCTTGTGATTCAGATTTCCGAACCTCTCCGCATGTTGAGCTCAACCAAGCCCGTCAATCTGCCTCTTTATCGCATCGACTTGTCATGTCAAACTCTAATGCCCAATTCTGTCCCCATATACCTGAATCTTGCTCAAGTTCATGCCGCGGCCGGTGATTTGCCCAGAGCGCGTGAACTAGCCAGGCTGGCAGTAGCACTAGCCCCCAATAACATCCGTTGTAAGCTTCTACTAGCGCGCCTCGCTTTTGCCATGAGGGATGTAGAGCAAGCTCGGAAACACACTGCATCTGCTGTGAAAATCAGTTTGGGTCTCATGGATGGGTCTTCGGGTGCTATCTTTCTTGGGCTGGTCGCAGATTCCCTATCAGTTGCAAGTGTTATGTGGCGCAAATTGGAAAACTACGAGGAGGCGCTAAAAACATTAGACTATCTTAAAGATCTAAAAATTAGCAATCGGGGTTTTTCGACTGTTTACGCAAATGCTACTCTCAGCAATTTGCACTTTCGTGACCAGATCAGGAGCGGGAGGACTGGAATTGGTGACATCCAGCCTGATCATCGCGCTCAGCAGCTCAAGAATGCGGCTGATTGTGCGCGTAGTGCCCTAAATGATGATCCTTCATGCGCCATGGTTCAAATATGACTCCTCTTAGAGTCCACCATTGTCCTCGCTCGGCTTCAAATGTAGTTTCACACATGCAAATTTAGGCCGCGCAAGCTCTTGGAGCTGTCTTACTGGAATCGGGTAAGCTAGATGACTCCATGCTGATCTTCGAGCGCGTCCAGGAGAAGCTTGTCGCTGGTAGCAAGGCGTCTTGCGGTGATTCTGCGATTGATCGAGATGCCTCGTGCTCTGTTTTAGATGCTGCAATCAATCTAGCCCATTCTCGCCTCCTTGCTGGAAAATGGTTAGAAGCAGCTGCAAATTATGCTACGTGCGCTAAAGTGCTCATAGCCATGTCAGCCGGCAAAATGTTCGTACCATGTAGTGCTCAGACACGGCGCGCTGATGTGTACCATTGGCTTGCCCGTGCATGCCATGGCGCAAACGAGGCTCAAGGCGCTAGACGTGCACTTGCCGCTGCGATCCACCTGCAGCCGGGGAACCTTGCCTTCCGTTGCCATTGTATCTCATGAGTACAATACGTCCCCTCTTTTCCATACAACATTATCTGATATAGCTAGTCATGAGAGTCTAATTGACACTTAGGCGCCATACTTCTACTCGAAAGTGCCCATGGGTTGTGTAGGTCGTCCTCTTCGCCACAAGTGATGTCCTCCTTGCGCAGCAAAGGTGATTACACCGTAGTTTTGCTCGCAATTGCAAGGGATATGCTATTGTGGCTTCGAAATCAATGCCTTCAAGACTCAGATTCTCGTCCACAACCCCTCGAATTCAAAGATTTGATATCAAAGTGCGATGACGTGTTGCAAAAGGCGCGTCAATATCTCGAGTGCATTGCAAGTGAATTAACAATCAGGCTCCTACGCTTGTCGCTCACGCACGTGAGCAAGATGAAACAAGCGATCGTCTGCGCCATGCTCAGCGCGTACAGTATAGATCGCAGTGTTAAGACCTGCAAATTATGCAACACCCCCCATTCATCACTTAGACTGGCTCGCATTGTGGCAGAACGCCACGTGCGGGAAGCTGCTGCCACTGCAGCTGCTCGTGCCACTGCTGAAGAGTGCATGGCCAAAGCACAAAGGAAGAAGGAGCAGCTCGACTCTCTTCAAGAGCGTTGGACCATCGGCTCGGGATCAATTTCCAACGGTTACTTGCGGTGTCAATAGTAAAATTTTGAGTGGGTATTTTTTTAAAATCTTTTTCATTCTAGATGGTGATGTCGCTGTAGCTGGTGATACACAAGGTGAATCAGTAGATGGAACCAAGAAGGGAATCATTGAGTCTTGACATCAATGAATATAAGTTTCCATCCAATATTTGTCCGGACCCAAGCAGGCACAAATGTTCTCAAGATGATGCAAACATAGGCTGGCATCGCGTGCATTCCACTGTTTGCGTCGGAACGCACTGATTTCGAGTTCACTCTATGATCCGGATGAAGTAAGCTATGATTTCGGCGGCGCTGTGTCGAAAGGGGGTTCGTTTCTCTTGTCTGACGTCTTGGTTGGTCGTCGTGTGAATTGCAGTCTGCGACGGGATTACAACATAATCATCGGGTAGCAGACAATTTCAAGTACTGGCTCCTGTAAGTGCCCTGTGGGATCCGGGCTGGTGTTGGGTGCGAAATTACGTCGGATGGGTCGACTTCCGTGCGCCTCAGAGACGGGGGCTGGCAGCCCCAAGTTCTGGCCCCGCCGACGCCCCTAGGCCCCTTCGCCCCTTGCGCGCGACAACCCTTTGTCCGGAGAGCCCCTTAGCAGGAGGTCGTGTTAAAAATGGCTGCCCCAGAGGCGGGTATTTCGAGTTTAGTAGTACCCGAGTTGTGCACATGTAGAACTCGCAACCGGCAGCCCAAAATAAATCTGCTGGTTGTGGCGGTCCTCCTCCGCAACTGTCCGAAGCTAGACTGGCCACGGTGCCGGACAGACCAGCTGCACAGACCAACGCCCGGCGGGGGTGAAGAAGTTGCACGCGACGAGGAAGGAAGATAGAATTACAATAACCATGCTTGTAGGGTGTGTTGTGATAACGACCGCTAGAGTCGGCTTCTGCCTTGGATAGCAGCCTCTAAAGATCTCTGTTTTTCGGCACCATCTGCGATAAGAGCACGCACGACTGCACATGCTGGACTTTTATGCCGGGAGACACCCGAGGTCAGTCCCAGATTTGTGTGGCGTGGCGACCTCATCGGGGCGAGTGCGCTCTGCTAAGACTTCTCGGACGCGACGCGCGTCGCTATGAACAACAGTGAATCTGAAGCCACTGTCGATGATGACATCGCCGTTTTGGGGGATTTCGCCGTGAACGGCACAGAGGAACCCAGAAAGCGTGACACAGTCAAAGTTTTCATCGTCAAGCGGCTTCTTTTTCGTCCAATCTCCACGCGACTCGTGCTTACGCTTTCCAGTGTCGTTTTCCTGGTGCGCATCGTAATCTGTGTCGTCCTCATCAGAGGCACGAACGGTGCGATCGTGCGGGGCGAAAAGGGCCGTACGGACGTCATCGAGCTCAGCCTCACCTTTTATGGCATACGCACTCGCTAATGCGTTCGTGGTCGAGGGATCCCCGTCCGCATTGGGCTGTAGGACAACCTGTATGAGGGAGCGGTCATCGACGTCTGTGCCCTCCTCCGCATCCTCTTCATCGTAGATCTCTCCGACAATCTCCTCGAGGATGTCTTCCAGGGAGACAATGCCCGCTGTCCCTCCATACTCATCCACGACGACCGCAAGGTGACAGCGCCGCCGCCGCATGGCTTCAAGGACGGCCCACACGCTCATGGACTCCGGTACGAAATAGGCAGGCTCAAGACCGGGCTCATCCCGGACACGCGTCGCACGAAGCGCGGCCTCTGTGGTCGCCATTGGCGGCGCGTAGAGGGTCATATTCGTCGTAATAATCTTGTGTTTCCTGACGGGAAGGGGGTTTGAACCATCAATCGCATTAAACTCTGCGTAGCGGATAAGCGATTTGGCAAGGAGTATGCCCGTGATATTATCGACGTCGTCGTTGAATGTGGGAAGGCGTGAATATTTTGTCGATGTCATGACTTCGAGGGCGTCTCCGAGCGAGGCCTCATCGTCGAGCGCGACTACTTCCACACGGGGTGTCATCACTTCGGCAACCCTGGTGACTTGGAGGTCAAGGACGCCCTTGACCATGTTGCTTTCGCGAGCCCCGATACCACCGCTCAGGCGCGCACCTTCGACAAGGAGGCGCAGCTCACCTGCCGACACATCGCCGGCGTGACCCTCATATTCCAGGCCAAGAGGTCGTAAGATTTCTTTGACCCCAAAGGAGAAGGCGCGTCCAACGGGCGCGAGAAAGACCGCAAGTGTGCGGATGTATGGTAAAGCGAACCGCGCGATTGGCTCTGCGTTCTGCACACCCAGTGTCTTAGGCAGGAGCTCGCCGAAGAATATTGTCACTGCCGCGAAACCGAGCCCAGCAACCGTCAACCGTTGTGGGCTGTGGCCAAAGCAGGCTCCTAGCGCGCTAGTCGCTAGTGTCGTGCCACAGACAGTGCAAACTGTCGACGCGACCAGCATCGTCGTCATCACTCGGGTGATGTCGTTCACTACGACCGCGAACCTGCGTTGGGTCCCATCATTCCAGTTGGCGACCGATCTTTATCAAATCAAGGCCACTTGGATTACTCTAGCGGCAAATAATCTAGGTATGAGCGGAATCTCTCCGACCAGTCGCAGGTAGTTCTGAATCCCATATATCTCGATACAGTGTAAGTTTCCCGCACTGCATAAACGGCGAGTCTTTGCCCTCCTCCTCCGCAAATTCGCGCACCTTCCAAGGCCATAGCGTTGTGATGGCTATCTCTGCCGCATGCACTGCCGAGGCCAGTACAAAGAGCACACCCCATCCCATCACCCGAGGCGCTACACGCACATTCGAGATACCACTGCTCCCTGAATTGGGGAGGCCCATCGCAGCTACACACGGCGCTGCAGCCGCAAGCGCACACAGGGTGAATCCTCCACGAAAGAGGGGCGCCCTGTGGTACTTTTTGGATAGTGCCGCGTCCTTCCGCGTCCCTGCGTATCGGTCTTTCTTGGTCAAGTAGACCCTTGCGTCCATAACCATTGTATTTTGGAGTGATGCTAGAAAATCGGTGCGGCGCATTCGGCCAGGCGCAGAAAAAGCGGAAACAACGCTAATGACGAGCACTGCCGTGGGACGCATCGAGACGCAATTCTGGCCCCTTCGGCCGGCGTGCAGGCAGAGGTCTACTACTATTGTAAAAGCCCCCGACAATAGAACTAGTGGTTTTAGGCATAGCATAGCCTGGGCACGCTTGCGGCCCAGACTGACGGTGCCAGGCGGCTCCACGCTGCACCGGCGTCCAGTCCGACCAGCCCGGGCGTAGATGCGCCAAGGGCAGCGAAGGATCGCACGTCTGCGCGCACTTGGCCATACGGAGAATACCCCCCGCACTCAGGGCCAGCACGAGTATGTTCTGTGACATGCCACGTACGTCGGAGCTCTTACGTACACCCTAAGGGCCTCCGTAGGTCTTAGGTAATTCCTAGGAACTCCACTCAGCCTAAGATTGTAAATGGCTTTCAAGTTGCCTTTGGTGCTGCTGGCCGTCGGCTGCGCTGCGCTGGCGCCAGCGCGGCGTATTAGTGCATGTCCATTGAGTGCGATACAATCCTCGGCCACATGGAGGCCTACGACGCTGGACGTTGCGAATTCGAACTTCCAGGCGGGGTGGTATACCGAGGTTGAAACGCTGCAGGTCTTGCCCGCTCCAGTAAGCGCGCCCGTCCTGGTGGGGGCGCGTGCCTTTAAGTATACTTACACATACAACTATGGGTCGTCCGCTGTGCGATAGGGCCACTTGCAACAGATTTGATGCTGGAGCGGCAGCATTCAGCGCCCAGACCAATGGTTTTGTACAGAAGCATGCCTGGTAGGTACAAAAGTTGTGGAACAACATCGATGCCATGGCGAGGGAAGTTCAGACCGCACGCTTTGCGCGTGGTTCAGCGATCGAGCCGTTCTCGCGTTCTGCATCGATTCCAGTGCTTGTGCTTCGCGTACGTCGGGCCACAAGGGTTTGGAAGCTGCTGTGAGCAGCTGACGCTATACCTTTGCCGTGCTCGTTCGTGCCGTGCACTGGCGCTCGGTCGCGGTTGTCCGCCGGAAAACACCCACCTGGCGATACTTCAACTTGAGGTTCAACATGGCCGCCAGGCACGTTTGATTTGAGCCCCTTTTTGTGTCTGGGACGTCTGCATACACCAGGGGCGTGTACGTGAGCCGCTATTTCGACGGAATTGTACGCGCCTGGTGACAAAAAGGTCGATATTCCAGCTTGCTATGCCTAAAACCACTATTTCTACCGTCGGGGGCTTTTATTGTAATGTTCCGAGGGGCCCCTGCGCGACGGTGCGTGCCGCGGTCCCCGGCCACGTCCCCGGCCCGTGCCCGGGCCGTGCCCGGGCCGTGCCCGGGGCCCCGTGCCGGGCCCGTGCCGTGCCGAGTGCCGGGCCCGTGCCGGGCCTCCCCGGCCCGTGCCCGGCCCGTGCCCGGGGCCCCGTGCCGCGTGCCGAGCCCGTGCCGGGCCGCGTGCCGGGAGCGCATTTACCGTGCCGGAACCCCCGTGCCCGCCGTCCCCGGCCCCCGTCCCGGGGCCGGACCGTCGTGCAGGGGCCCGTCTCCGGGTGAATACGGGGGCCGGGTGGGGTCCAAACTAGAAAGCGTCGAATTTCCCGCGGGCTCCAGGCCCGGGGCGCTTGCAGGCGACTAAAGGGGGGGGCAGGTCGTAAACTCAGCTTCGTTGGGTTTCTCGTGTCCAGAGGCAAGCACGATATCCATAGTTCGGGGGTGTGAACACCATTATCCCCCTCTATTGTCGCTACCCCACCTAACTGTGCTAGAATCTCTGCACGGGGGCATGTTGGAGGCCCAGTTCGCTTCGGGTGACCACACCCGCACCCTGGTGGATATTCGCCACTCGGATATTCGCCGCTTTCAGCCCAGTAGGCAGAGTCAGGGTATATTCCCCTGTGGGCTTTACTAGGCGCCGGGGTCCCGGGCGGGGCCCAAAATACCGGCGCCAGTTGCCCTTGACCAGCGTGTGGCGGGAAGGGCATTTTACTGTCCTGCGGAGCCGATTCCGAAGAGATTTTTGGCAGTTTCATAGACGACATAAGAAGAGCCCGTGCTTGGAAGGGTGGCGAGACAAGCCGGTTTGAGGCCCTTGTAAAGGCCACGCCCCCCTTCTGTTTTGGAAATGCCTGCAAGTCCGTCAAACATGTTCCTGAAGGTCTTGGGACGTCCACCAATACCCTGGAGCTGTAAACGTTTGCGAACAACATCTAGTGGATGACAACTAATCTGGGCAACCATACCAGCCAAGGCACCAAGGCTCATAGTTTCAATGGTGGTCATGCGTTGACCTCCAGAAGATATGATCGACCGACAAGTTTCATAGGTGCAGAACTCAACCCCTACGTAGGGAAACATAGCCATCAAGGTAGGTACGAGGCCCCGATAGAGAGCACAGAAGCCTTGCTCTTCGACAAAGGTTTTCAAGGATTCAATGATGCCCTCGCCATATCTTCCACGCTCGACTGTCAGGAGAGATTTCACAGTCTCAAGTGGATAGACACAAGCTGCCGCAACCATTCCAGCCTAACAAAAAAAGAGCTAGTTAGCTCCAGCTCAACGCACGAATGAATGACGCTGGAATACTGCAAGACCGCCCGCGATCAGCCGCTCAATAGGCTCGAGAGCTTCGGCCTTATTCTGCCAGCGCTTCAAGAACAAAATCTGTTGCTTAAAGAATTCAAAAGACACAAACTGAATACCTTTCGTCGGCGCGACCTTCAGACAATTCGCGCCGTTGCCCTTGTAAAACCCAGTTGCACCTTCGAGCGCCCAAAGGCGAGTCAGCATGTCTATTGGTCCTTCGACTGTGCCCACTGCCGCCATATTCACTGTCGCCACCACCTCTAATGGAGATACCAATGTGCGAGACACCACTCCAGCGATCGCGCCCGCTGCAAGGAACTTCAAGTTGCGCGTCACTGCTGTCGTTGTACATGCAGGGGGGGGGGGCTTGTACGCGCCGCTGAAGATCACTCGCAGTGCCTGATCAACAGATTGGGAAGCTGGTATTGACCATTTTCGCCAACGTCTTGCAAGGCGCCTTTCCGAAAGACATTCTCTCCCAGTAGGTGAAGGTAGCGCTTCGCCTGAGACCAAATGATAGAAGTGCCACAGCACAATTGCGTGCTTGAATCCCATCGGCGCCACCTCGGACAAAAAAGGTAGTCAAGGACGGTACGTACTGGTCACCGCCACGGTATTTGTGATCAGTTAACATAAACGAAGAATCGGTGTTAGCTGCGATTCGACAAGGTGAAACATACAACTTTAGGTCGCCTAGGGGCGCTCATGAGGAGACAGGAAAACGGATGGAGCTGCTTCTCCGGTGGTGTTGGTCGGCGTAACGGCCCGGAAAGTTGGTTTTATGTTGATCCTTTGCAAATGAAGCGCACAGTAGGCTAGTCGGGACTAGTAGTCAGGAGGGCATCACAACAGCTGACGCCGCAATATTGGATAATCCCAACTCCCTCGAGCTGACCCAGCTCTATGCCAGGAGCAACTACCCGAGAAGCGGTGCTGCCGAGCAAACCACCCGGCGGATACAAGGCACTGCCTACCATTCGTGGGTGCCTGAGTAGTCGAAGTGCCTCAACAGAGCGACGGCTCGTTCATTGGCCTTGAATATGCGCTTAAGCTCAAGTGTCATGGCAGTCGGCCAGCGAGGGGTGCTACGCTCGAAAGGCCTCTTGAGCTGGGCCATGCGGAGCAATGTGTGGGCTTCCGTGGCGATGGCAGCGCTCGCAACACCTGGCTCGTGCAAATTAGTATGACGTTTTTTTAGCATGGTTTCGAGGCAGTCTTTTTCCACGTGGTAGTGAACAAGGATCTTCTCTAGTGTTGGATATCCGGCCCCGACAAAGAGATCTTCATATCGGACTATCAGAAGTCGGGGGTCATTTTGATATAAGAGGATCGCTTCATTATCGTTGACCCAGCGCTGGAGGCATAAGACACCGCCTGGGTCAGCATTTGGATATCTTTCTATGAGCGATAGCATGACATCGCGACCATCACGGACCAGGCCAACTACGCGAGTTAGTGGGAGTGTCGCAAATATATATCCCAGACGGCACGCATTTGACGGTGACTTGACTAGCCAATGTGTCGCATTTTGATGCTTGTTCATGGCTGCAAGATTGGCAAAAGTGACATCGTCTCGACGCGACTCCACCAGCATGGATATTCGCCTGAAACTGTCAGCTTTCACAGAATACTCAAGCGCAGCATTTGGCGCGACGGTGAACACATTTGGATGCAGGGAGAGTAGGTCGACAAGTGGTGTTGTGCCTGAATGACCGCACGCAACAAGGAATGCTGGCAGCACTGCTGGCGTCGCGATCAAACCCCCTCTGTGAGTCCATGAGTCATTGAAAGACAGCGGGTTCATCCATGGAGACCTACGATTCCTAGTCTATCCGCTGGCGGAAGTTTTTGGTGCAAGTTACTTACGTGCGCCGCGCATCTGAGCCACAAAACTGGGGTACACTCCAAACTGGGATAGCTCCAAACGATGCAAACATGCTCTGAAAGATCCCCGCAGTGCGTAAGCCCACGTGCAACATCACTAGCAGCGACATCCCTGCACAACATACGACAGGAATTCTTAACAGAAATAACGTAATGGTTTCAAAAGAGCGAGCAGCCAAACAGCGGCAGGTGCGCTTATCCGGTGGCGCAAGAGGAGCGCAGAAGACAGCTCCCATTGGACGGAATCCTTCTGAAGGGGCGGACACTGAAAATCGGCCGATTGCAGATCGTCGAATTTGGCGGCGCCGCCTACTACAGTAGTGCGATGGAAAGAAGGCGTCGAGCCATCTTCTAGATCTAGCCGATAGAGCTAATCAAAGACTAGACTTCTAGGTTCGTGGAGCTCGGTACAGGTAATCAAGATCTTCGATTTCCGTCCACTAGTCGTAGGGTAAGTCGTCGGGCCCCGGGGTAAGTCGTTGGGCTCGCCAAAACGGAACGCCGCGCGCGCGCCGCCCGCGCCGCGTCTGAATCGATGCCACGTCGGTCGTTTCCGTCCACTTGGCCTTTCGTATCTCCCACTAGCCTGAGCTAAAGGAAGCAAGTAAAATCCTCCCTCAAGGGGAGGTTGAGCTCAGTTTCAATTAAAGATGCCAGAATGAAGGCCGACGGACCGCGCTTGGATGGCGCAGCCACCTCAGCGGGGATGGAGGAGGGTAGGGCAGGGCGGGTGCTTCATTTGTGCCGGTGCTTCATTTGTGCCGAAGGAGGGTGGTGGGCGGGCCAAAAATATAAGCCGCGCCACCCCGGACCCCGGGGAAGCGGCGCTCGAGCTGGGAGAGGACCACCACAGCCAGCAGTTTTATTTAGCTGGATGATGATAGGTGGTCTAAACTCACTAACTCGTTAGGGCTAGACGCGCCCATAGAAATACTAATCTTTGTTTTGCGGTCGCCCGGCGGGAGGTCCTCATAGAGGTCCTCCGTCCACCGCGCGCGCGGGGGTCACAACGGACGTCCAACGGACGTCCAACGGACGTGGGACAATTCGTTTCAATGTTTTGTTTCGCACACTGCTCTGTCTCATGGAGCTACTTTATCTGGATTTCGTAGAGCCTTAAACGGTTACGGCCTCGGTTCTTTTTCTATGGGGAATTCGTCAGCCGATATTCTAAAGTCAGGAAAACGTCGAGGATCGTGGAGGGTAGCCGGTCTGGAGTTTCGTATTGCCCCCCGGTCTAGAGTCTATCCGCGCAATGTCTTGCTTACACGTGAACGAACGCGACGCGGCTGGCTTTCGGGACAGCATGGGCGGCCCGTGGGTGCTGGCTAGAGCGCGTGTAAGAGCAGATTTAGGTGGAAAAGAGGCCGTAGTTTCACTCCAGGTTTAGGTGCATTTCAGGGGACTAGTGAGAGAACGGATTCCCGATGTCCCTGTCATTTAGAGAATCATCGCTTTCTTGGCCGCTGGTATCATACTTGCTCTTGGTTGAGACTGACTGTATATCTTCGCCTGCGTCGCCTGTATACACATTGTGCTTGATCTTCGACCGAAGACCTTCAGATAATGGGTTGGTCTGCTGGTGCCTTTCCTTCCCTGAGAACATGTCACGTGCACCGCCAATTTCACGACGATGATGCGCTGCCTTCTCTGTCTCAGTGAGCTCTTCGTCCACATCCATGAGATCGACGTGCATGTCCCCATCCGGCTCCCCATCGCTGATAGATTCGACTTGCGTATCTTCGTCTGAATCTCCCTGAAGAAAAGAGATCCCAGACTCTGCGCGCCTGCGGGAGGTGAAGATTCCTCATTTTTCAAGTATAGTAGGACTCAGACAATTACGCAAGGATTGCAGCTTCTCTCTCCCTTCTGCGATGCTCCCGCCTCTCCTTCCGCTTCGTTTCACCAATCTGCATGCACGCCTTGCAGAGACAGAAAAGAACAAAGCAAATCAGGCCCAGGATGGCCGTATAGCATTTGCAGAAGAGTCTCGCGAAAGCCCCGAGCCACCTAGCCATTTGGGGAAATCTAGTTCTAAACTCCTCCAAAACGACCACAAGGCTGTTTTCATAAATTCGGTACCGACCATTAACTGCTCGTTGGAAGTAGGTAAGCCAGCTGCTGCGATCAGCTATGGATATCAAGTCGACGACTACTTCTAGTTCGCTACTCTGTTGAATTTTTGGACCAGGTTGCACAACATCGAATGCATAATCGGATCGAATTGAGAGCGTCGCACGCTCTCCAAGTGACATTTGCTGGACGCCGACGTCGATACCTCGAAGTACTTTGCCGCGTGTATGGTAGATGAATCGACAACCCATGCTACCCTGGACACGCTTGCTTCCGTTGTGCTTTTCCGATAGCATAAGTGGGACGTCAAGCGCCGGAGCGAAGCACATTTTTTTCAGCTGCTTGACACTGACTGTTTTTGTGGTAGCAGGCTTTATCTGGACTCTCTTCAAACTTCGTCTCGAGGAGGGATTGCCCGATGGCCTCGTCGCTAACCTGATCGAGTCATGCTAAGCCTTATCTGCAAGTGCACTGAATGCTGGTTAATACTTTGTCCCAAAACACTGTACTGGACTCGGCTGATGACATGCGATAAAAACCACAGCTCAAAATGCTCAACAGCCAATTACTAGCGGCAGCGATATCCAAACTATACTTGGCCCGTGCTACAACAATTGAAGATAAGCTACCCTTGATACTTTTCGGCTCTGCTTTTTTTGTTGATAAATCAGAGCGCTTTACTAGCTGTGCGATCGCCTCACCATTCAGCTCTATTTCTCCCAGAGTTTTGTGTTCGCCAATACGGTCGTAGTCGCGAACCTCAATGAGAAGTGTTTTCAGACTTAGGCTTTGAGCCAGGGCCTGAGACGACTTGGGGGCGGTGACGGAGCGTCGGAGTGCGCCCCGCCCGTCTGTGCCCTTCTTTCCTTGACTTTTCGCCACATCAAGGACTGGGAAATGAAAAACGCACTCGTCCCATTTGGGATCAGCACAATTGTATATGGGGACTCGCCCAGAGGCTGGCCATCCCAGAAAGCGGCGAGGTAAGGGTCACTTTCTGAGAATGTATCCGCACGCCTAAATTTGAAGAGATGTGGAACTTGATTTACGTGAGCACGCAGCTTTTTGCATTCTCGACCTTGATGACGATGTGGGTCATGCCCGTCTTCACATGAGTGGTTCGGCCGATGGCAACTCGCATGGTCCCGGTCGGCATCTTCGGGCGCAATGGGTAGACTCTAGGTTCGGACTCGCCAGTTGCAAGTACTTTGACAATTTGCCTCGGGGATAAGGACACTTGGCCCACAAAGACATCTTTAAAAACGGTATTGTAGTCATACATTTCAAGACGGAGGATGGGATCGACGTATTTCGGATTTCCATGTTCCCGTTTGTTTCCTCGCAGCGCCGCACGCTCGACCCACCTCGCAACAGGATTTGCAAGCGGAACAACGAAAGTTTCGCCACTCCAGATCGGATCCGTGTTCCCGTCTATCACTTGTGTCGCCCCAACAAAGGTGTCCTCCCAATATACGGCGCAATACGGGTCCGGAACCTGGCGCACGCAATCAAACTTGTGCCAGTGTTCAGTTTCCGACACTGGACACGATTCACGTCAAGAACGCTAGCCTGGTAGACTCGATTTGCGCATAGCACTTGAACATG